ATAAAAGTAGTAGATACCGCCAAAAAATTTTCCATTAAAAATTAATTTTTAAAATACAAATGTTATAGAAGTTATAAATTACGACATTGATAAAATAGTACTATACCAATACCATAGTTGTAAGTTGTTTCTATAWAAACTATTATGACAATTTAGATTATAAAAAATAACTTGGAATAACCAACTGGAATTTTATGTGGGTTTTATACATTTATTTAGATTATTAAAATTGGACTATCAAGCAGATTGTGGTATGTAACGAATTGCGGTGCACTATAATAAAGATAAATTGTTCTATCCATTAATTTTAGTAGAGTAATAATAAAATCATTACTCTTGTATTTGTCATGATAAAAATTTGTAGTACCTACTTTATATATGCATCAAAAAGTATTTAAAAAGTTCACAAATGTTAAGTTTTTATAATTTATAGATAAAATTAGTAACTAGCTTTTATTTTTTTTACAATATAAATTTGAATACATTTAAATATAAAATAATATGTTAAATTTATGAAATTCTATGAATTTAAAAAAWTTAATTAATAAAACAGAACAATAAAACAATAAATGTTACAAATAATTCAGAAATACTAAAGAATGTATTATTGTTAGGTTTTGTATTCATAACAATTTTAAATAGACAACCATTGTAAAAACAAAAAAATTGTAGAAATAATTTACTTTAATTAATTAGTTAAAAATAGGTGGACAAACTATATTTTGAAATTTTACTGCAAGAATTTTGATTAACTGAAACAAACATTCACTRCAGTTAATAAACTGTAAGCCTTTCATTCCCATTTCATTTTTTATACTTTATTTCAACAAAATATTATGTTTATAGTTCTCAAAATAATTTTGGCTGAGATAAGAAACACTAGTCTGATAGCTTTAGTCTAATTAGCAATGTATACATAACTATATTTCTCTTGTCTTCTTATTAAATAGTTGATAATTCTAAACCTTATGTTCCTATACTATCAGAGCCTGGTTAAGGTTAATAAATACACCATAAATACACCCCTATAAACAATATTTACAAATAAAAATTATAAAAAGATTATAAAATTTTTTGATGAAAAACACAAATTAATATTGAATATACTTATAAATTATTTTTAAAATATTTCTTAGGTATTGAATTAAAAAAATTATTTATAAAAAACCATAGTAACATTTTATTTTTCAGGTAGCTGGTTTAAATATTTTGCTTCCTGGGCAAATGCTCCTTTTATCCCTGATTTAATAGGACCTATATATGGTTATTTAATAACATATTACAATGTAAACTAGAAAACATTGTGCACGTTATTGAGCAATACAAAATTACGATTAGATAGTATTAAAGAACAGACTATATACATATATATTGGTACCTAGTGACTAGAGATCAATCTTGACTTTTTCTTTAATATTAAATAAGAAATAAATCAACAGCACAGCTAATAGGATTAATTACAACACAGCTAATAGATGATTCAAGAAATTTTTTTAGAGTTAATATATATTTACCTTGCACAATAATGGTGTAGTAAATCGATCATCTATTTTAGTTTCATCTCTACCAGGACAGATTTCCAAACTTGCATGACTAGTATAATTTGACATATCTTTTACCTGAATTTCTTCATACCCAAAGTCTCCAAGATCAACCACTTTATCCACACTTTTAGCCATTTTTGATGATTCCGCGATTTTCTTACGAGTGTTTTGGGTATTTTTTTTATTTATCAATACAGATATAGCTTGTGCATGATTAACATGACTTGGCAATGAACCTCCCTCTAGTTGACGGGCGCTGACTTTGGTAGTGACACCAGAGAGCCTCTTTTTGAAGTCTGGTGCCAAATCAAAAGCTTCTAGAGAAGAATTTTCCTTGATGTGTTGGTCTTTAGATGATAACTTATCAAGATCAGTCTGACTRTCAACTAAACGTTGATTGTGCAATGGTCGTTTTACATCATCTTCTCCATTTTGAGTCACATCTTCCAGCAGATTCTGTAACATAAACTATGCAATAATTAATCCAATTTAAAAATGGTTTTGTAGTTACACCAAGGTGATGTAATATTATTATAAATAACAAATTAAAAGTAGATAAAACATTAAGAATAAAGCTTTTATTTTTTAATTTATAAGTAAATTGTATTTAGAATTATCTCTAATATCTTATAAATATTTAGCAATTTTAATTTCACTAAATATCAAACACCAAATTTAATTTCCGATAATAAAAGTCAAAATTTAATTATTATTTATCAATTTAAAGAATTGATTTACTTTTATAATAAATTATATATATTTACAATAGGTAGTTAGGTATACTTATCGTGGTTTATGATAGTATTGTATTAAAATTAAAATAATTGGCACATAGTCAAACAATTACTTTTTTTAAAATCATTTTAAGTAGCATTAATTAGTGAATTATGTTAAATAGTAACAAAATTAAAAAAAAATGGATCATATTACATCATTTTATTACTTTAATTTTCAATGAAGTTAAAATGAATAAAACATAATTTACAAGGTTTATAGAGGTGTTAATTCAAATTTTAATTGTAAGATGTGGAAGAAAAGCCAGTGGATGAAGTCCGGGAGAGATAGAACTGCATTAAGATTAATATAAAGAACCATTAACATTAAACTTATTCATCCATGCATATGATCAATATTATAATTTATATTTCCAAAATCCCAACAATATTGATACTCAAGAAGTAAAAAATAACGTGACAGCCATTTTCCAAAAATATCATACAATCATTATCCATTTGATAAGAGTCTTTCTATTTATTGTTAATAGTTGGTTTATTCTTCAATAATTTTAAACAACATGATTTTGGAAAATACATTTACCAAAATACTATACTTTTAACACTAAAATATTAATTAAATACTAATAGTTGAATTGTTTATTAATTACAAACAATTAGATTAGTTTTATAGATTTTCCAATGACTTCAGAAAACACGAGACATTTTTTGATAATATAACTATGATATAATGAACTCAAAAAAAGCAGTTTATCAGTGAAATCGAATGTATGTAWGTGCGGGGGGTTGTACTGGGCACCGAGAGCTTACATTGYCATCTGTATAAAACATGAACTAAGATACAAAATTGTACACTAAATAAAATCATCGTTAGCGCTGAAAACAATCAGTGTCCAATGCTCGAAACCTTTTAGTATTCGTCCCCTGATCACCGCTAACTATGACGTTTCCAGTCCATTACTCCATTAAACCTACAGGCCGTGGTCCAGCAGCCTATCATACTGTATGTGCTAATTCTTATCAGTGTCGGCATTGATCACAGAATACAGAATAACCAGAAGAAAAACTCACAAAAAAACCATGACTTAAAACTGGGTATCAACACAGTATCTGTATTGAAAGAATCTGATGACTTTGGCCTTGAAGACGGTCTCTAGGTGGGTGTGGCATACGTCAACACTTAAATAAATCATATCTATATTACCAGAGAACAATATATTATTATACAATTCTCATTGGCCATTGCGTTGTTTCTGTTTTAATAATTTCGTAACAAAGAAGGATTCACATCGATAACATTCTATAAGATTACAGATACGGTACTTAATACTACGTACTATAGGGATATAGAAACGCGATTAGCTAATCGAGTGTCTGTTCTATATTTTTCTGTAGCATTAAAGGAAAGCAATATAAATGGGGTAAAATGAAATACCTACGAAAATAATCTATAATTATAATTTCATGAAATAGTATATCAGGAAATGAAATTGAAATAATAAAGGAATAATATTTTAGGATCCTTGAAAGTATCATTCCTTTATAATACAACTTTTTTWAAATATATTTCTTCACAAGAAATCTAGTCCGAATAATTATTTTCCTGAAAGGTACGATTCCATCTTCCATATTAATATTTTCCTCATTTGTATGTGCTCCCGCTTAAAACAGTATGGTTACCCAACGAGCTATGATAAGACGACATAGGGCATGAACTGCAAGACCATTATGTAAGACTGGATACGACAAGGTTGGAGGGTTGTGGAGAAGTTGACCACGAAATGTTATAGAACAGGCGATGTGCAGGGGGTATTTTCCTTTGAACATTACTTGCGCTGTATTAGTGAACACTTTTACTACTGAACATTTTTAGCAAATATCTAGTTCCATAAAAATCCACTAAGACGGCGCTAGTAATGTTAATAGGAAAATACCCCTATTCTATAACATTTCGTAACCATAATAATTATCTCTTGTCCAGTCCTGTGTATCTTAGTTTGTGACATAGGGTATCAATCCGAATCATTGAGTAAATAATATCCGAATCTTAGATCATATATACGTATATGATCTAAGATCCGAATGCTGGTACTAGCGCTTCTAGTGGACTATTTCATTTATTCATTTTATTGTCTATTTACTGTTTAATAAATATTGTAAGCAAATAAAAAAATAAACAATAATTATAAATTAATATTTGAATAACTAATATTCTAACTAATTTTAATTTACTACCTATACTTCACCAGATCGCCAGACTTTTGGATTCAAATAGTATGTAGTGTTATAACATTATTCTAATGGCTCGTCGGGTAACCATACTATAATCCTGTTGAGAACTCAAAAATCAGCTAACCTTTAAGAAAATAAATAATTTCATTTATTCCTTAAACATTTTGTGTATGCCAACCAATGTTTAGCCAACTGACAAATTGACGCTTGTCTCCGGGCGAGCTTCGCTGATAACAATATTAATAAAATATGAGTTCCTTATCTATATAGTTATATAGTATATAACTATGTGGATAAGACGACACATAAGGTATCAATCCCGATGCCAAGCCAGCACTAGCGCTTCTAAAGGGCTATTTTATCAGGGGTATGACACTCTCACAATTCCTAATGTTATTTGAAAAAAAGTGGGGACATGTCCTTGAACTCCTGAGCACTGACATTTTGTTATTTTTGAGAATCAGCTGATGGCTCATATCATATATTTCAATAATTGATACCATTATGATATCACAGAAATGATAATAAATTATATTATAATTTAAAATTAAAATAATGTTAAAAAATAAAAATAAAATACTGTTCTATGATTTTATTAACGTGTCATTTATTCATCTAATATAATGTAGGTACATTAGAAAATACTATAAGTAAATAACAAAATAAACAATAATTATTAATAAATGTTTCATTTAATACAATTTTAACGAATTGATAGTGTGATAACAATTCTATTACGGATCGTTAGGCAATATTGCAATCTTAAATCGTGTTAGGAGCTCATGTTAAACCACGATTAAGAATTCATATAATACACTGGTTATGGAACGAGGCCGATCATAATGTAAAAAAAAAAAATGAAACTGAAAAGTGCTAAGACGATCAGCTGTTGTGTGTCAGGAACACCAGCACTATAGGTACAATAGGTACATAATAATTTAATTAGAACCATGATTATAAAAAAACGGGTAAGTCATGGATGTCGCTCTGCTATGTAGTAGGTTACAAGTGGGTTACTTGTAATGGATGTAATTAAATTAGAATCCAATGATATTATATCATTGTATACGAAAAACGATTCTGAGCTGAGACGGTTTATCTATATAAGATATATTATAGATTATTAAAAAATTTTCAAATCTTAGATTTAAAAAGAAAAACTTTTATGAATTTCTATCTAAGATAATTTTAT